CCCTCCATTTCCCATTCACCCTCATTTTAAGAATATTACATCTTAAAATAAAACCTCAACACAGAGCGTCAAGCATAGGCATTATATATCTCAAAAGTCCACATAACTGTATAATGATTTTTATGTATATTCGATGGAAATTAATTGAATATCACAAAAAGAAAAATAAAACAACCAAAAGATGCAAACTTCAGTGCTACAGCAAACTTAAAATCAGGAAGAAATCAAGAATACTGGATACACAGATAGTTAAAATACTCGCCAAATATTTAGTCGAACAAACAAATCTCAAACCTGAAAAGAGGAGATATATCTTTGGCAAGTAAGAAGAACCAAGAATTCCGATACAGAAATAAATAAAAGGCCAACGAAACATGAGAGATAAACAAATCACTTAGCTCTGAGAAAGAAGCTGAGTGAGAAACGAAAGAAGAAAAAATAATCGAAGATGAAAAGAAGAGTTTTACCGCTGGTCAGTGGGAGGAAGAAGAGTAAAAGAAAATACGTAATGAAATGATGAGATTGATGTTAGAAAGGCAAAAGAGGAAGGCAATAAAGCCCTAATTAAGAGGAGGAATTATGTAGAAGCAACGTTACAATTAAAACATGACGGTTCTAAAAGATTAGAAACTGTTTTTTATTATTTAAAATAGGATGAAAAATAAGGTTAAAAGTCAAAAATTGGAGAAAAAAACAAAATGTATATTCTGATTGATGTGATGTGCCATCAACTTGTTAGGCCCCTCTTTTATATATTTATATTTATATAGATTTGTAGGTCTAAATAAGAAATTTTAATCTAAATTTCAAGACGTTTATGTCCTGCAATTCACTAAAATGTTTTGGCACTGCAGATGTAGAAAAGGTTGACAGATGCGTCCACCGCAGCAAGAAGATTACATGCAACCTCCAACACTAAAAGGATGTGGCAAAAAATGTCTTCTTTATCTTTCCTCTATTTCGTTTCTCTTTCTTATTTCTTCTTTTGGCTTGCATTTGAAGACACAAATTCAATCAAATATGTACTGCTCACTGTGGGACTTGGGAGAGAATAAATACCAATGATAACCACCTTTGTACTCTAGTTATCAAACAATTACAAGAATGAGAACATTACCAGAATGTAAATTTATGTCTAGAATCATTCTAATCTTCTTTTAATTTTTATCTTTGTCTGCACCGTGTTCGTTATTTGTTTAACCAAATTTCATGAAATGGGTAATTTTGATTTGAATCATTAAGTCGAATTTGTTGAATATCAGAATTACTGGCTTTAAAATCATACCAAGCAAAACTGTAAGTAGCTGTGTGCTTCCCATCTTCACCTAAAAATGTTAATTCAATCTATCTTTTCCCTTCCCCTTAGTGGAAGCTTTCTTGTAATTTCAACTTGCATTGAGATAACTTTTAAGCCACATATGAAGGTACTCCCTCACACACAAGAGGAACTATTCCTAATATGTATGTAAGGTAGGTACAAAAGTGAAATGATATAGTGCTGGTAGGATAACATTCTCTCTGCAATATCAGGAGAGGGAAACAAGTATATTCTAACCAGGAGCATTTAAACCTATTTTATAAACTAAAGACCGGTTACAACAATAAAACCTATCAAAGATCAGAATTCATAGTTTTATAATGCAAACTAATACTCTCGATTTTTTTGAACTTCAGTTGTAAAGCTTCCAGTACAAAGTTACAATAAATTGTAAATCGCTTTCATCACCAACAGTAATCAACGCACAGGTGCCAAATCAAGTTAACACGGCACAGAGGGACCATTCAATAAGGAGAAGAGAAATGTATGCAAGAAAGAAAGCACCAAGTCTATTTAGATCACTAATCTGCATCCATCTCTTCAAGGGCAGCTTTAGCTGCAGTCTTCGCTTCCTCTAAAATATCATCAGGAACCTACAAACAAGGCCAGTCAGTTACGAACCTAGACATTTTGTATCAAACGATGCCCCATTANGGGGGGATGGGATATATTAAGGTAATCAATCAAATGGAGCAAGGATCATGTGAATTCTTGACTGTTGTGAAACTACTAACCTAAGACGCCAGTCACTATAAAATTGATGAAGCAAACATTAAGGAATACTGATGTAGCAATACTTGTGAGCATAAGCTGATATATGGATTCAGATATAGACTACTTTACCATAAGGACCCCGCACATATCATACTTCACCAAAATGCTTGGCAAAATTAAATGTAAGCATCAGAATAGTTTCTCTATATTGAAACTGGATAGAGAAAAGTGTAAGTACATTGGTTAGATTCAGCTTAAACTTTGAGACATCATATTTTATTTTTTGTTTTAAAGTTGGCCGACAAGCGAAACAACAAAATGAGCAGGTAAGAAGAAAAATTAAACATAAGATAGAAGTATCTATTAAACACGAGCTCTAAAAGAATCCCGAGTTACCTTCTGATGTTGGCGGTTGGACTCGTCACATATCCAACTCATTTCAAGTTCAAATGCCTTGTCCTTTGCCTCATCATGTACTCCATAAATTCTGCTTGCAAACAAAACATATTGTCAAAACAGTGAAGGAAAAAGTATATAGCAGTATAGCACCAAACACTTAAAAATTTCAATGAGATGCACTGAAGAGTTAAATTCTAGTAGTCAATCGAATCGGCGGAAAACCCTTTAAAATTGTTGAAAATTTCCGAGAATAACTCTCATATGGATCACAGTACTCTAGAGATCAAATTTTGTACAACTAGCATGCCAATTGAAAGAAACATGCTAAAGTCATAAATTGATTTCTTAATTCTTTGAAAAAATTTACATTTCAAAAAAAACAAAATCTTTGAAAAATTTATAACCACTTTGGTCGAAGAACTATTGAAGTCTTCCGGATTACGAGAAGGAATGCTAATACTATTTTAGGCAGAACTAAGATTAACCTGCATAAAGCAAATTCACAAATCACAACACATTCTGTACTATCATTTGCAGGTAGTTCTCAATGTCAAAAACAAGAATATATGCTGACAATCAGATCTTGCTGATACATACAATTATGTCATGAATTTTAAAGTTCGAAGAAACTATCAGCTCGTCAACAAAGGTTACATGTGCCTGCAAAGCTCAGAGAGGATTAGTCACCTCTTCCTTCACTGCATAGTTGCAACAGACCTTTGGAGCTTTTTCTATTCAATTTTTGGACTAAGTTCGGCCATGCCATAGTCAATCAAAGAAGCTTATGAATGCTGGTGTCTTTGGAGAGTTGATAAGGCCATCAAAAGGGTCTGGAAAATGATCCTAGCAGCTACTTTTAGGTGTATTTGGACAGAGAAGAATTGCAGATACTGAAAATTATTTGGACTTTGTTATCTCCCTGATCTTAGGAAGTTCACTCATGTATCGGAGCTAACTACTACATATTTTTTGTAGTTATTACATCTTCTTGTTGCCTTATGAAAGAAACCTTCTAACTTCATAAAAAGACATTTAAAAAAAAAAAAAAGGAAGAATTACTTACATTTTGGCCACCTCAATCACCCCTTGTCGACAGGTCATCTCCGATAACTTCAATTTTTCAATTTCTCTGAATATATCACATTAATATTATGTCATATCAGCATAAGGAAAATTTAGCCCAAAGCAAGCCAAACGAATAACATATTAAAATGCTAGTAAATAAGGAAACACGTAATTGAATAAACCCACCCTATCAGTTCCTGATAACTCTAAAAATTTTAATAGTAATTCACAGACCTAACAAAACCTGATAACTCTAAAAAAGTTATAGCAACAGTTCACCCTTTCAGGGTGTTCCGGTATGTCCTTTTCAATATATTGATAGTGTTCAAGCTAAGCACACCTGGATTAATCCACCTATCAGTCTGTCCAGTCCACAAGCACAGGTTGCCAAAGAAATCATGCTCACCAAGGCTATAATAGATGGATTTACACCAAGAATTGCACTTGGTGTAGTTGGGACTCAAACCTAAGATCTCTGGGTTGTTACTCGTCATCCCCTTAGGACTGACCATGCATGTCTTTTATGCATGCAAATACTGCTAATCTTTTTTTTTTTTGGGATAAGGTAGACGAACACTTCTAATCTTGTTTTTTCTTTAAAGAGGAGAGGAAGTATGTGTTGTTTACTTAAGCGACCAGGTGAAAAACTTATGGTGCCATGCCAATATGTTTGGAGGGCAAATCACTTTCTCAAACTTCCATGCCGCAGAGAAGAATAATATGACAACCAACTTGTCCTTGCTGTAGCAATTGACAATTCAATGCACCCAATTTCTTTGTAAAAATCAAATTCCATTGCGATCGAGTTCTAGATAGCTAACTTGTGGTATAACTCACCTTTTACCAAAATACTCCCAAACAATTTAACCCAAAATTGTCTTACTGATAAAATTGAATAGTTTGGAATTTGGATATGAGCTGTCATTGACAATAATATGCTGATTTCTAATTTTACTTTGAAAACCACGGACCTGTAAAGACCCAACAACCACAATGTCCAGGATTTATGTTCCTAGACTTTAGCTGGCTAGTAAGTTAAATAAAGGGCAAAGGGAACAGCTTCCTAAAAAATTGCACTGTAGGAAAAATATCTCTGTGCTCTAGTGTTTTGTGTTTAAATCTAGGATTATCATTCTACATATCCTCCTACTTTACAAACCAAAAAAAATTAATTTTTGAGTTATTAGTAATTTAAACTTGAGTTAGTGGACAGTCAATGCAGATTTCATCTGTCATGACAAGACATAAATGACCATTTGAATCTGGAATTTAGGATATTGAGAAGAGAACTACACTTACGTTTTAGCAGCTTGTCTGCCCTTTCCAATAGCAGCACCAAAGTACCTCTACAACAAATGCCAAAATATATTCACATTCTCAAAAAATCAAATGTTATAGGACCAGATCACACCAAAGAGTATGGGAATTTAAGAGCAGAGCCCAGTGGAAAAACATCACTTGCAATTGAAAGAAGGATTCAACTCACGTATGAGACACCAGAAGGCTCAACCAGGTATAGTTGAGGTCCATCTCTATCATAACCTCCAAGAATCACCCCACATCCGAAAGGCCTGTAGCAAGTTGTACACCAAAAATTTCACATATAAAGCAATTTTTTCTTTTATTTGTTTCTTTGCTAAGTTTCACACATATAGAAAGCAATTAAACAGAAAAATCTCCAATATACAAACCGCTGTACATAATCCAACAAACCTGAGCCACCAATACAGTGTGCATAAATGCACATAACTAGCAACGCGTTCCGCAAGTTCTTTCACCGGAATTGGCTCACCATATGCACTGCAAATTGCAAAAACCAGCCAACAAGCCGTCAGTAGAAAAAAAATTACTTCTCCAGCACTATGCAGGATCTTAAGTAGCGATCACATTATGCCTATGCCTTCAAGACCGTTCACTAGGAATCAAGCCAAGGACCATCAAATTATTGGGATGTATTTGATAAAGTTGGAAGATTTGAACGATCTTTTTTGGAAAAGCCTAATAGAGTCTACAATTTCATCCAAATGGTATTCTAAGTTGGCGGCCCAAGTTCATGTGAAGAAGCCCAATTACAAGTGGAGAGCCCAAACAGCTAAGGGTCTTTTTAGTCATTATGTAAACCTTCGTATAAATAGAAAATATTAGGTCATCTTTTATTTTCTTAAACTATATTGAATATTGCTATGTATTTTGTGAGCTTGAAGGTAGACTTGTGGTTGCCTTTGAACTAGCCCTAGAATTTGCAAGAGATTTGTCTTCCTCTTGAGGATTCTATTAGTGTAGGTGCTTTTGTTGATTATACCAGGGGTGATTAGAATTTAATTCTAGTTATTGCTAATATCTCATCAATATTTGTGTCTTGCTTCCCTTTGTTTATTGCTTTTTCAAGTCCCACTTCTTGTTCTTGCATTTTGGTTGTTATCAAGTTGAGACTTAAAAAACCTTTAATTAATAAAACAAATAGCAGAGCTTAATATAAAAGCCAAGAGCATATTCATGATGGCTATCGAGTTAGTCTTTGCTATTGTAACTCTATGATTTGCTTAGGAAAAGGTAGTTAACACTTAACAATAGAATCTGCTCAAGCAGATGTAAGTTTTTTCAAGAAAATGAGAATAGAAGGTAGTCAAGTGGCGCCCCTTTTTCTTTCTGCAATCATGGCAACAGAAGATACCGAATACCATCTTTCTGTAAGGACGGTGGTGTAGACACCAGTTTTATGAGCACCTCCACTAATCCACCGGACAATCTAACCAGACACCAACACAGGTTCGGGTTAAATCTGCTCACTAAGGCTGAGCAAATGGGCTCATGCTGAGTGCTGTAACTGGGGTCCGGGATTTGAAGATCTCCAGACGTTACTCCTAGCTCCTATGCCTCAACCACTCAGCCATCACCTTGGGAACGGATATAGTGAATACCATCCATTTATCTCACAAGTAAAAGGAAGACACTTCCAAAATAGAAAAAGCACCACCAGAGTTAAAATTTCTCTATTATTTTCTTTGTCTCAAGTAGCTGGCTGTAAGATACTACTTCTGCAATACTATCTGCTATCACTAGGCCGAAAAACCATGATTCAATGCACAGGCGCTTCATTAGGTTTTTATTCTATTTGACGCTTACTGGACGTTATGTACCTAACACTATTAAGATACCATAGGCACATCAAATATTTTCATGTGTAATTTCATTAAATGCTGCTAGCGACTCAAAATCATAATTGATAATTCCGGTACACATATTTATTTTATTTTTGATAAGTCAAAGGAGATAACTCCTTTCATATATTTTAGTTATGAGCGGGAAATAAACTAAAATTTCTTTATATTTTTTCATAGCTGTCATTGCATGATTTCACAATGTATAAGTACTCCCATGAATACTGTATTGCAGGAGAACCAGAAGGCCCAACAAAAGTCAAGCACAGAGATGTAAATACATATGTTTATATTGTACTCAGACATGGTGACTAGAAGCAAACCTTTCGAAGTTGGTTGCTTCAGACTTAGCCCGGGCAACAATTTGCCTCCCATCTGCAGCCAAACCTGCAACAGCCTGCATATAAAGAATAAAGCAGTATAAAGAAAGTGAATCACCATTCAAGAATAGAGGGGAAGTGGCAAGGAAGGTAGACGTAAGTATCCAAAGAAAACATTTGCAGCTAGATAAAATTGACAGATAGCAAACAGAAGCAGAGAAATCAACTAGAAGCTCATGGTATTCTTTACAGTATATGTTACAAACTCGAAACATCAAACCATTTCTCTGAGATGAGCTCGAAATATCAAACCATTTCTTTGTCAAATCATTATCATACCTAAATTTGTATGTTCTAGTGATATATCCAGTAGGTTACAGAAATATTTTACATTTCCCATCGATCAGTATCACAATGACAATTTTTTTTTTGGATAAGGACAATGAATTGAAAACTGGCAATTCGAACTTAACCAAGAAAACAGAAATTTTTGGAATTACAACTCGGAAAATCCCCAAAACAAACCATCACAAACAGAATGCAACAGATTCCCCAACTAAATTTTATTTCCGTGAAAATTCTATCATGACTAACTTTTCTCTAAACCATCCTCCCACAATAAACATAACAGTTACAGAAGAAATGTACCACATACAATACATGTCTTTGAGGAAAAGCTAGGGAGACTCTTCTGCTGAAGCTACCATTAGCTCAAGAAATACAGGTTTCCATACAGCCTATTCGTTACAAAATCAAACTCATCATTTGCAGCACGAACACATTGGAATGTTTAGGAAAAATAAGCCTGTGAACATATCCCC